CGAAAAAGCAAAAAGCACGAATTCCAGAAGGAAAGTCCAAAATTCCGAGAGTCATCGGGGCTCGACGAAATTCGAAAAAGATTCTAAAGGAAATTCAAAAAGAACGAAACAATTTCCCTCGCGATGTCCGCGCCCAAAAGATCGAACCCGAAACAAGGGAAACAACGTCAACATTTATCAATCGCGCGCGTGGTGGCGCGCCAGTCATCCATCCGACCAATCCTCAGCAGGCCGTCCCCGGACACACCCAGCTCTGTACCGAGTCATCCGACAAGAAGCGGCAAAAAAAAGACGAAAAAGCAAAGCGACGAAAAAAAAGACGAAAAAACAAGGGTACTGATGCAATTTTCAATCGATCCCAATTTCCCGTAATTGGCCCAATCTTCCCAGCTTATGACCCCTCGTTGCAACCGTGCAGAAACTCGCATGTTACAGAAAGTGGTTCGTCACATATGTGACGCCTAGGGGGTTCCAGTATTAGCAAGCTCCTGCTTGCTTGTTGACACGTGTCGATTTCTCTAATCGATCGACACGCGGAGCACTTCACTTTATGCCACTTACTGTTCGATTGCGTGTGGACGTCATCCATCGTGGCAACATTGCTCTTCTACTGGTTCCTCAGATTGGGCTCTTAGGGATTCAAGGATGGGATCTTTCTCGTGTCGTCGCCACGACACGTGTCCATCCCATCCTGCATCTGTAATTAACCGGGAGGGGGAAGGGAAGTCGGTACATGGCGGCATGGCGGGGTGGACGGCTCAGGGGTAGCGGGGGCAGGAACCTTTCCATCCCAGCTGCAGATTCTGGAAGCGCTTGGTAGCAAATGATGCGGTGGAAACGGGGGAAACGGTTGCCATTGCGAGGGAGGGACGCGAGGTAGTCGGGATAGAGGGTGGTGAGAGTTCGGAAAAGTGCCGCGCGGAAACAATCGCGATCTTCGCAGGCGGGGATGGTCCCCGTTACTATGCAATAAACCTCAATCATATTGTGGCCTCGCCACACGGCACTAAGGAGCAAAGCATGGAGGCAGAAGGTTGGGATGGCGCACTGAATGGAGGGGTGGGGGTGCACTACTATAGCGAGGCGAGCAGCATAGAAGTGGCGGAAGGTATCGCGGGGAAACGGGTAGGAGGGGAACGTGATGGGGCTGGTGAGCTGGCGGAGGGTGAGGTAGTCAAGAGGACGGCGAGAGAGTAATCGGGGACGAAGGCCGATCGCCCGTATCGGTACATCGGTGAACTGGGGGACGGGTTGGGGAGGAAGGGGATCGGCTTCGTCGCCGTGCCGATGGGGTGTGAGTCGTGGCCGCGAGGTCGCCATCTTCAGGTCGGGGCGGCTCCGGATCTCGGTTCGGGTCGTCGCAGATCTGCAGACTTACCGCGCTTGCTAGCTCTAACTTCTTCTTCCCGGTCACGATTTCTTCTCTTTTACGGGTCGCCTCGGGATCCTCTGCCTCTGTGCCTGTGCGCAGCGCTTCTTCCGACACGGCTTCCCATTCTGATCCGGCAGATTCTTCTTCGTTCTCCTCTTCTCCTTCGTCTTCTTCTTCTTCTTCTTCGCTCTGCTCCCCCTCGCTATGCTCGCTATAACTTCCTTCTTCGGGGGTTTCGTCCTCTTCCTCGAGTACTTCGTCGCTTTTCCCACTTTCTTCCCACTCGTCTTCTCCTTCGGCGTCCTCTCCTTCTTCTTCCTCCTCTCGAATAGCAGCAAGTTGCCCTGCCGTTGGATGCCTGAAGAAGGCAGGATCGCGAACCGTCCGGGGATCTAAATACCGCTGCTGCGACGGCGGGATGCGCTCGGCGGCTCCCTCCACACAAGCCGACCACTGGAGATAAGGTGTCAAGGTGCCAGAAAAAACATAGGGAACTGGATGCTCGTCGTCTTGCGAGATGATGTCAAGAGGGAGGTCGTCTGCCAGTTGCGCTATCGGAATCGTGAGCTCTTGCGCCATAAGTTCCTGATGGTCGGGCCGTACTGTACCGAATAAGAACGCGAGAAGCTCTCCCTCCACATTGGTGCGCCAGGCCTGGATAAACAGCAGCTCCAGTCGCTCTATGCAAGGCAGGTGCGCTTCGCCCTCGGTCCACGTCAGTCGTACTTCGACCAAGCACAGGGAAAGCTCGATAAAGTCTTCGCGCCACAGTTCCCAGTCCGGGGGATGAATGTCGGGGACAGCAAGGGTCGTTAGACAGTAGGAAAGGCGAGGATGGATATCGGACTGCCAGAAGGCGGGGAAGGTGGAGGGGAGATCAAAGACGGAGATTGGGGAGAGACTCATTGGGGGCGAGGGTAGGGAACAACAACAGGGAGAACCGTCGGCGGATCGTGCTGGTACATCCGAAGGCCGTCGTATTCGATTGCTCGCGTCGTTGCGACCGTATCCCCGGGACGAGCCAGAAGCTGGGTCCACTCGGTAACCAGATCGTTTGCCCACGCACGCAGCGACGCCTTTACTGCTGAATGTCGCAAGGGAAGGAGCGTGGAGAGATCGCCACGGAAATTGATGACGACTGATATGCGGCTGACACCTGGCACCGCCCGCTGATGAACTGCTACTGCCTCAGCCAGTACCACTGCATTGGGTCGACCTTCTATTCTGAACACCGCCGCTGTATACACGCCTTCCGTGCAGAAGAAGTGTGCAAGCCGCCGAAGGTCTGGACTGAGGTAGGGATGATAGACCTGTCGGATCGTCAGTCGATCACGGGGCGCAATCGCTGCTTTGCTGAGGGCTCTCTCCTCCAGAAAACTCATGGCGATGGCGAGGCAGGGAGGGAGTAAGAGGAAGAGGGAGATGCCGGAGAGGGAGAGCCGTTGTCCTCGGCTTCCTCAAGGGGAGAACAAGAGGGAGAAGGAGACAGAGCAGAGGGGAGGAGGCGAAGATAGGATACGTGGCGTGTGATCGGGCGGGCCGATCGTCTGCCAGAGGCTTCCGGGGCGAGACGCACAGTGTCCACGCCATTGGGGCCGAGCTCGATCACGCGATATCGCCCGAAGAATCGTGGCGCTAGCTTACCCTGGCGAGCACATTTCCTCACCTGCACCACGTCCCCCAATTTGTACTGGGGCCGTGGACCCGCATTCCCATTTTGGGCCTCGTGGGCTAATTCGGTCATTTTCTGTCGTTTTCGGGCTAGCCTGGGCAGTGACCGTTCCATTAGCTCTAGGTGTCGTTTGGCCTTGTCCCTAGCCGTGGCCCTGGTGGGACGTCGGTTCACTGTAGACTCGTCCGGGAGGCTTGGTATTGAAATGCAAGCAACGTTATTGGTCCTTAATTGGAAGGGGCTCAGCCCCGTCGATTCGTGGGGCGTTCCGCGATGGACCGCTAGGATGTGATCGACGATATCGGGCCAGGGTCTCGGATCCCGTGCCGCGATACTACGTCGCAACGCTGTCTTTATCACCCGGTTAGCGTTTTCGACCAGTCCATTGGATTGGGACATATGGGGTGCAGTGTTACGTATGGCAACGACATGTAGGACCAGATTCCTTAGTACTTCTCCCCTGAATTCAGCTCCGTTGTCGGTCAGGATTTCTTCCGTATCCTGATGCATCCCGAGGAAACGGTTGACATACCGCGCGATTTTCGTGGCTTGCYGCGTGCGACAAGGATACACTTCGATCCATTTCGAGAAATGGTCGACAAATACCAATAGGACTGAATATTCGCAACTATTAGGGCCAAGGGGCACCACTATGTCGGTAGTGTCCATGCTCACTCTTTGAAATGGTCGTTCAACAATCGTGGGCACTATCGATCTTGGAGGCTGAATCGGTGCCTTGTCAGCGGCGCAGACCTGACAGTTGGCGACAATGTATTTCACATCGTCGCGGATATTGGACCAATACCACTCATGTTTGTCGATAGTGGACTCCGTGATCCGTACGGCAAAATGAGCCACAGTTTTCTTGTGGGATGTCTTAACCTAGTCGTACTGCATAAACGGATGCGGCACTACCATCCAAATCCCACTACCGTCTGTTTTCCGTTTTTCTAATCTACCCTCTATCCATCGATAATCCCGAGCCCTTTCGTTGGCCTCCCTCCGATCTTCCTTAGTGAAATCCTGGAGGGGGTTACCTACCAGGGTGGCAATCAAGGCAATATCCTTCCATACTTCGGTCCTTCTAAACTTCCGGGTCTTTTCCAATCCTTCTGACGTGGCATCCAAAAAGCGAGCCTCGGTCGGAATCTTGTTGGTCCGGCACAAGGGGCACAACCACGGTTTACTATCGTTTCTGTATTGGATGCACGAGCCATGGGCTCGTGCGACGCACCGTCGACAATGTATCCAATTGACATACCCTTCTCCGTTAGGACAGGTGGAGACCGAGTATACGCGGGAGATGGCTTCGCAAAAATAGCAAAATTTGTCAGGCAGGGAGAGGAGAGACGAAGAGGAAGGGGGGGAGAGAGGGGTAGTGGGGTTACCTCCGTCACCCATCGCCACTGTTTTGCTTCTTGCCACGTGGGAGGACTGCCACTTGTCCGTACTTAGGCTCGTTGGTCAGGTCCGACTCCTTCCACGGTGTAATTTCCTCGCCCTTTGGTACCTTGACAGGTCGGTGCAGACGTGTCAGCCTGTCCGCGTTGCCATGCCGTTCTGTCTTTCGATGGACGATATCGAAGTCGTATTCTTGTAGTCGCACCGCCCAACGACCAATCATGCCCGTGTAGTTGGTGAGTTTCTTCAGCGCTAGCAGAGGCTCGTGATCCGTTACTAGGCGAAACTTCTGTCCGTAGAGATACGGATGGAAGTGCTGGATTCCCCAAACTACCGCATAGCACTCGCCTTGAGGTGCGGAGTCGTTTCTTCGTTCGTCCGGTACGGTTCGAGACGCGTACTCGATGACATGTTCGCGACCGTCGCTCCCTTTCTGTGCTAAAATAGCGGAGATAGCTTCGGGTTGCCAGTCCGTGATGAGAATGAACTGCTTCGAGGGGTCCGGTCGAATCAAAATAGGGGCCATTGCCAGAGCTTCCTTGAGGGTTGCAAAAGCCTGCTGGCACTCCGCGTCCCAGCTGAGAGGCTGGTCTTTTCATAAAAGATTCGTTAGTGGTCGTGCAATCGCGGCAAAGCCCTTGATGAAACGCCGGTAATATGACGCCAATCCCAAGAAGGTTCGAACCTGCGTCAATGACGTGGGAACCGGAACTTCCTTCACCGCCGCGACTTTTCTCGAGTCTGGCCGCAATCCTCCACGTGTCACGACATAGCCTAAGAACGAAATTTCAGAGAGGAAAAATTCGCTCTTCTCAAGCGCAATCTTGAACCCAGCGTCTCTTAATGCACTCAATGTCCATTCGATGTGTTGCGCGTGTCTGTGATAGGTCTTCGAATAGACCAGTATGTCGTCCATGTACACGATCACGCAGAAGTTAATCATTCCCTGCATCAGCCGTGTCTTGTTGACGAAGTTCTGGAACGTCATGTTCATCGCTCGCTAAAACGTGGTAGGCGCATTGCGAATCCCCATCGGACACCGAACCCACTGCCACGTGCCCTCAAACAACACAAAGGCCGTTTTCGACCGATCTTCTTCCCTTACTAGAATATGATGGAAGCCATGTCGAATTTCAAACTTGCTGAAATAATTAGCACACCCAATTGCATCCAATAAATCATCAATCCGGGGGAGGGGATACACATCTTTGATCGTGAGCTCATTCAGCTTGCGATAATCAATGCAAATGCGAATTGCTCCGTTTTTCTTTGGTACTAATACTACGGGAAAAGACCAAGGTCCGGTAGCGGGTTCAATCCAACCACTGGCTTCGAACTCCCGAATTCGTTCGAGAGCCTTTTTGCGTTCAATCAAGGAATAACGATAAGGTTTGCAATGAATTGGGGAGTGATTTCCTGTCTAAATTTCATGTTGGATTACTAACGACAACCCGATATCAGTGTCTAACACACTAATTGCTCCTTGGTATTCTGTTAGAATATCCGTAATTACCCGGTGGATTTCATCCGGCACATATTGTGGAACGTGCAGTTCGAAAAGTTGGTCCCAGATCCGAACGTCAATCTGTTTCGTGTTCGCTTGTTTTGTCGAATCGGGTGGAGGCGCTGAGATGAATGAATGATCTGATCGCCAGGAGAACACCGTGGCCATCATCAGAGCATCTTCTTCTTGGATTGCCACGTGTCCTTCCGGGGTAATCCCGCCACAAACATCCTGCCATGGCACTTCCTTAGTTGCAATTTTTATCCCCAGTCCATCTGTTTCTGCTTCAAAACGCCCAAGGGGTTCCAGAGAGCTTGCTTCCGCCCCCAAGCGTAACAATCTCACTTCTTTTGCCGAGGTTAGTAAGGACTTGGGTAAATCCGTAATATCACAGTAATGCTTCTTGTCGCTATACCAGGCGAGGAGAGGGGCGATCCCTTCGTACAGAGTTTGAGGGGGTTCCAAAGAATCGACCATCCTCGAAATCTGCACGAGGGGCTCGCTTAGGATCATCGCCTTGGTCCTTTGAATTTTTCGGCTGGCCAGTTGCATCGTTTTTGCTATCGTTTTGGGCGGCGGGTAATAAACGCGTTGTCGTACCAATTTCAAGATCTCCGGATCATCTTCGTCACTTCTTTCCGCATCACCAGTTGATGGTTTCCCTTCAGCGGGTTCGTCCCAGGAGATCATGCGGAGAGTCCCTGTCATCATCAGCGAAACCCGCGGAACCGCGTTAAGGGTAGTGCGAAGGGTCAATCGCATGGGTACAGCGTAGGGTTTTCCCCCTGTATTTCGGAGGACGATCGCTCGTTGTTCGAAATCCAAGTTTGCTCGTAACGCCACAAGAGCGGGAAGTCCGAAAAGAACGTCGCACGTATTAATATCCATTACTACGACATCCCCAAGCGCGTGTACCTTTCCTAATCGGAAGGCGACATTGGTCATTCTCCCCACAGTTTTAATCTTTTCCTCATCTGCCGAAACGAGCTGATCCTTCTCGGTGAGCATGATCAGATCGTTTTTCCTGCCTGCCCTTTCGACTACTCTCAATGAAATGGCCAACACAGCTGCTCCTGAGTCTATAATGGCGTTGTAAGGAATTCCCCAAATTTTTATATCGCACTCGGCGGATTTCCACGGAATTGGTTTAATCCATAGGAAATGATCGTCTTTCTGAATTAATCCTACCCGTATCGGATCCGGAGTGCCTGTTGGGTTTTCTTCCGGCGTGGGGCCTTTGGTTTTTACATTTGGTGCTCGGGCGAGAGCGAATCGCTTTCGATTCGCTTTACAGTGCTGTAACATTCGCTCGTTGGCTTGCTCGGAGATTGAGAGTAGACGACCGATCGGAAGTGGAATCCGATGGTCCAAGGCTCGGATAATGTTTAATACATCGATTTCTCCTGTGACGAAGGTGGGTCCTCCCGACTCCATTTCTCCTAAGGACGGTCACCACTCCGCCACCTCTTTTGGTTCTGGCGCTTGTCTGATTGTTCCGATCATTCCTAGCCCAGGATATCCCAGCGATACGTACTGATCTAGCGGAATTAGCTCGGCGGCCTCTTCCGTGGTGGCTAAAGCACTTTCCCCATCCTCTACTTCTTCCATCAAGGCTCCGACTCGTCCAGGTCCATTGGCGATGGGGGCCGCAGCCATAGGTGCGACTCCGATCCGTTGTTGCGGGGGTCGGTGGGGGCAATCACAGGCTAGATGTCTGGGTTGATGACAAGCATAACAAACATTCAGATTGTTCGCAGCTCCTCCGAGAGCAGGGGCAGTGGCTAATCCTGGTTGCATCGGAAGGGCGCGCACCGCAATAGGTCGCATATTCCTCATCATGGCTTCCAGCCGAGCATTGTGCTCTCGTTGTTCATTTTTGCTTTCTTGGATTAGACTAATCAACGTTTTCGTTTGTTCGAAAATGGTCGTTGATTCGTTCAATCATACGGGAGCCTCGACCAGTGGAGGGGGTAGTGCCCTAACGGGCGGGAGCATCATAGGAGCAGAGATGCTCGGAGTCCCGCTTAGGATTACTCGTTTAGGGCCTATCTGTTCCATATAAGTGACAGGTCCTGACACGAATCCCATATTTTCAAATTTGTTCTGCAAAGCAGCCAGTTCTGCTCTTGCTCGTACGAGCTCGGTCAAGTCTCCGTCTCTAGGATAGTCTTCTCCTTCCAGGAAATTTGTTGCGAACTTCCGTTCCATTTCTTCCGCGGCGGCCATGATTTGTTGTAGCGTATGAGTGATAGGCGAAAATTGTTTTCGCAACTTAGTCCTTATTGTTCGACTGCGGAGTCCATCAATGAACAGATCTTTCCCTACTTGCTCACCTCACTCAATTTTTACGAACATCTTGTAGAACCTGTTTCGATATTCCGCAACAGATTCGAGCGGTTTTTCTACTCGGTCCTTGATCATGTACAATGCCTGCTCAGGGTGAACATAATCAGATCGGTTCATGAAATCCCGTTCGAAGGTCGGGAGATCCACCCATACGTAGGTACTATACCAATGATGAGTGTCTCCTCCCATTCGAGTCGGAATGTTGATCTGTGCTTCGTGATCGTCGTATTGCTGTGCTCTAAGCATGGCCAGCCACACTCCTGCGAGATGGTGCACCGGATCAAATAGATAGAGATCTGGCGGTCATGGGAGCTCGTGCACGTGGGGCAGGTTGATTAGGTGGATTAGCATTTTGTTGCGGAGCCGGAATTTGCACGTTGGCCGCCATATTGGCTGTTCGTCGGTTAGCCGCTCTTCTTCTGGTGACGATAGGGTCGCGCCTATACGCATTCTGAGGGCGAGGTCGCCCACGGTTAGCCAGGTCGCCTAATTAACGTGCTATCAATCTTAAGACCCTAGCCACGTGTCGGGCTCCGATACCAACCTCACACCCAGCGCGACTTCCTGATCGGAGTGGGATGTGGGCCTGAAAGTGCGAAAAGGGGTGTGCCAAGGATTTTTGGGAAAGTGGGGGTGTCTTAAGGGTATGAATGCAATTAGGCGAATGAGAGGTGCGTGCGCAAGGGCCTCATGGTCCAAAGGGGCCGGGATACTGGGGTCGATGGGTTAC